GCCACCAGTTCTTGAGCGCTCGGGTGTTGGCGAGAAGTCGATCCTTGACCGGGCTGGTGTTCCGGTCGTTGAAGAACTGCCTGGTGTTGGCAAAGACTACCAAGATCACCACCTGCTGCTCTACCCGTACAGGACAAGCTTGGAGCCTGATCAGACAATCGATGGCATTCTAGGCGGACGAGTGGATGCGACCGAGCTGGTCAAGAACAATGATAAAACTCTGGGGTGGAACGCAATCGATATTGCGTCTAAACTTCGACCAACAGAAGAGGAGGCAGCTGCACTTGGACCTGAGTTCAAGGCCGTGTGGGATCGCGACTTCAAGGACGCACCGAATCGCCCACTGATTTTGTGTGGTCTTGTCTCGTGGTGAGCACCTCACCCTATACGACGATCAAGTGAGACGACTAACATCGTGTAGTTTCCTCGGCGACCCATCCTCTGTTCCTGAAGGCCAATATGTTACGTCTGGCGTCTATACTGCGTATCCATACTCGCGCGGACATATGCACATCACCGGATCTTCCGTCGAGGATCCGCTCGACTTCGACGTTGGTTTCTTCAACGACAATAACGACATCGATTTGAAGAAGCAGATGTGGGCGTACAAGAAGCAACGTGAGATTCTTCGACGAACTAAGCTCTATCGCGGCGAATTGGCCGCTGGTCACCCAAGATTCCCCGAGGGATCGAAGGCTGCTGCTATCGAGTGTGAAGAGTCGTTGTCGAATGTACAGAACCTGGTCTATTCGCAAGAGGATGACGCTGCTATCGAGCAGTGGCTACGCGAGAACGTCAACACCACATGGCACTCGTTAGGAACATGCAAGATGGCTCCAAGGGAAGAGGATGGTGTTGTGGACAGTAAGCTGAACGTGTACGGTGTTTCTGGCTTGAAGATCGCAGATCTGAGTATACCGCCGCAAAACGTTGGTGCAAACACGAACAACACTGCGTTGGCGATTGGAGAGAAGGCCGCAGATATTATCATTGCTGAGCTGAGCGCTGCAGGTACGCCCTGAGCACAGCGTCGATGAGAGTTGAAAGTTTGTGCGCAGTTTGGTAGCGACACGGTGGCTATGATATGAATTTTGTAGCATTTCTATGGTCGGATCGTAGCCGACCAGTTTCGTTATTGTTATCAAAACTGGATGTTCTCGTTCCTTGTCCAGCAAACATGTGGTATGATGATACAAGCTTTCGTGAAAGCAGGTAGTTTGTAGCTAAATTGTATAGCGAGGCAATGAGGATCGGGCCCTCATCCTACAGCCCTCTGAACAGCTCCTCGATCGTGATCGGCTTTCTCACCGCATTCGAGAATCCTTCGTGGAAGCTGACCCATATCCTATCGTCATCGCCCTCTTGCTTCGTCTTCTTCCTCACCTCGCCCTCCAGCAGCGGCTTCTCTTTGATGACTCTGCCGAAGAAGTCTCTTTTCACCGCTCTTTTGTTCGCGTCTTCAAGCTTCCTTGCAACGTCATCGTCTTTTTCTTCGGGTATTACAGCCTCCTCGCTCTCCTGCCCACCTCGACGCTTTCGATTTTCCATATCAATGCGTGCAGATTCCTTCTTCCACTCCATCTCCAGCACGCTTCGTACTGCGTATCGCACTTTGTCATCTTTCTTGCTCCCTAGCGTCTCAAAAGACGCGAGTGTGTCGAGCGGAGGTTCCATGCGGAACACAAATCCGCCACCTCTGTTCATGACATCCTCAACTTCGATCCTGCTGCGCTCAAAGCGCACGCCTGTCGCAGCCATGGCTTCGACGGCTTTCTTGACGAGAGCTTTTTCGGACGATTTGCGCACTGCAGCTGTAGCGCTAGCTCTTGAGCCAGCGGGACCAGTGTTAACGATGACAGGTTTGACGTCAGGCGAGAGCATTCGTAATGTGTAAGGTATGAGTTCTGTCGCCATCTCCTCTGGGCTTCGAAACAGTCTGGTGAGCGGCACACTCAAGGATGATTGCAAGCTCATGAGTTGCGCGCGACTGGCTTTTAGTTGTTCGGCTGCGGCGAAGCTTGCGCCAGGACCAGAGAAAGGTAGGCTTTGGGCATCAGGGTCGGCTGCAAGATTTGAGGCTTCGCGGCGCGGCGAGGCGAAGAGGTCGTGAAAGGCGAGAGCAGTCTGAGAAAGATAAGGGAAGAGCTCCCATTCTTGTGAACCGTGCACAGCGGAGGACAGAGTGTCGTGGAAGTGAAGCCATTCGTAGGCGACGGAAGGTTTGCTGAGGAGGGTATCGTCCTGGAAAGGCTTGTCGGGGTAGGCGGCAAAGCAGTCTGTGGTTTGTTAGAGGAGACCGAGCAACGAATGAACGCATGCTTACCAGCTACGATGCGGTCGCAATCACCACTCGTGTCGACCATCTCTCGAAGTCGGTCCATGGCCCGGCGCTTCGCTGCCTCAGCGACTCCAACAACGCCAGTCTTTGCTCGAGCGGCCCCTGTTCGCACATCCGTGGTCTCAGCCTGCTTCGGAAAGCCAGCGCCTTCCTTGAAAACACGATCAACAACGTCTTTGGTGCCACCTCTGCCCAAGCTGCGAGCTGCTCCACCTCCGTGCTTCAGGTCGTTGATGAAGTTGTCTTCAATCCACTTCTTTGTCAGATGTGGTCGGTCTTTCGACCTCAGATCGTGCGTTGATTTCAGCCGCCCTGCTACCCACTCAGCCATCACCATGACACCACGAATATCGCCCTCGCCTGTGCCACTGCCTGTGCCACCCTCTTTCTTTGTACTGACACCCCATGTTGCCTCGCACAGTCTACGCACGCCGTCAGAGTCGCATTGGAAGCCTTCCTTGCTGAAAATATCTTGCATCCGCGTGACTACCATGTTCATGGCAGGCTGACGAATGCGCACAATTTCGGCAATCGACGACTGTCGTAGAGGTCGTAGTGCAGGGTGGTAAAGATCGTTGCAGATAAGAATGAGCGGTCTCAACAGCCGGAACTTGTCACCCTTCTTCTTGTGTGAGCCTGTCGCCTGTTGTTGGCCAGTCATCTTTGAGTTTTTCTCGTCCAGATTGATAAGATCAATCAGTGCCTTGACAAAACCGCCTTCGCCACCGCCGTTGCTGCTACCACCGACCACGCCGTCCACTTCATCCACGACCACGCAGACCGGCTTGCCAGCTTTGCGTACTTTGCCACTTGAAGTGTTTGAGCTGATGCCACGCACGTTCTCCGTTCCGACCATGTCTCGAATGCGGCCCTTGACCACATCGCGACTTCGCTCGTCCGACGCATTGATCTCTTGGACTTCATAACCAGCTTGTCTAGCACACACATGCGCCAATGTCGTCTTGCCGAGTCCTGGTGGCCCTGTCAGAAGCAGGATTTTGCGGTGCCTCTGCTCGTCTTCCCCAAAGTCTTTCTTTATGTTCTTCAGCTTGGTCCTGCCAGAGCTCGGGAATACGATCGCATCCCAGCCCTTTAGCCATCGCAGAACCGATCGATGTGTGCGCTCGTCTCCCACCAAATCTGTGAACTTGCGCGCACGATACTTCTCAGTCCACATCAGCGTACGATTGCTTCTTCCCGTTTTGCTACTTGGCTGCTCAATCGACTGGCGTGTCAAATTCTGGAATGCTTGGACTCGGCTGGCGGCCTTCGCTGTATCTTCTGCCTTGGCCTCATCGATGAGCGAGTGGATGTCTATGCCGTAATAGCTTGTCCTTGCCTTGCCTTCCACGGCCTCAGATCGCGCTGCAATCAGTTCTTCGAAAGACACAGCCTCCTTCTGCACCTTCCTTGATATATGTATCGTCTTGCCTGCAGCGTTTCGTGCGACCGAACCGCGCACCGGCTGCGCAGACATGGGCGCAGTGTGGAGTGGGAGGCGCCTGGTCTGTGGTTGTGGGTCGAAGTACTCGTCAAGCGCTTCAACCGGTACATCCTCCGCGTCTGCAATCTCGTCCTGGCTTGCAGGTGGTGTGTAGTGTGCAAGCTCATCTGGTGCTGCAGGCAGTTCTCTGATGCTATTGACCGCTATCCTCTTCATCGAGTGCTCCTTCAATGCTGCGACGTCATCTTCATCGTCCGAGTCGTCCAAGAAGCCCCCAACTCTACGTAAACTCTGCTTGTTTGACGCATCATGCAGTGGGCTGCGCGCATCAATTGAGCGCTTTCTCTTCTTCGGTGTTGTGACCTGAGGCATCGACGAGCTTGGCGGGTATGCGACTGGGGAGGAGATGAGTGGCATAGCGAGAGTGGGTGGCGAAGATAGAAAAGGATGCTCGTCGAAGGGTGTGCGCTGGGTAGAGAGGTATTCCCGGTTCCTGAGAGGAGTGTCTAGCTGGATCAGTATTGGTAGCAGCACCCTTTGCGGCTTGCAGTACCAATGCTATGTTCCCCTTCGCTCCTGAAGATATCTGTCAAGTTCCAAGACCGATGCTGTATCACAACGCCTTTTACGTTCTTCTTTGCCCTGTCTTCTAAAATGCACGCCTGCAGGGCTTCTAGATCGTCCGAGTGGGAAACGGTGCTAGGTACGTTCCGTATGTGGTCGTAATCGGAGTAGAGGAGGACAGGATCGAAGGATGTAGGGAGGCCGATAGAGTGACTACTCATCGAATTAAGGGCATGGCATCATGTCATGGTAGATTTCTGTGGTGTTGGTGTCGGGCGTGAGTGCGGCGCGTCGACGCGTTTCGTGTTTGCGCTAGTCGCGTTGCGGACAGGTGCACTTCCGCGGTTGTCAACGCTCGTGATTAGTATGACATTGGTTCCTTTCACAAAGATTTATGCCACATAATTCTAACAGTGTTTCCAATCGTTATATGCCCTATCTATCACGCGGGCTCGGAAAAAAAAACCCTGGCGCCATAGGAATGAATGGCGAATCTCGCAAACGCGATTAGCTCAGCGAAGTGGGGTCGAACGCAAGATTGTATCACACGAGACAGATGCAGGTGTCGAGATCGCCACGGCCGTCGGACAAGGAACAAAGTACAAATGGCAATATAGTATAACGTTTTTCACAATATTGGCAAAGCAAATAAAAAGCTGAGTGGCGCAGCGGAAGCGCGCCGGGCTCATAACCCGGAGGACACTGGATCGAAACCAGTCTCAGCTATGTTAGTTATTTTTATTGATTTTTTCGTTATCGGACTCGCTGCCTCTTTTCATACCTTTTTGTCTTGAATACGTCTTTGCACCGTAAGCTCGGTTGTGATGTTTTCAGATTATAAGTGTGACCAACAAGGAAGTATACCATTGCAGCTCATACAACCTTTATTCTCTCCTGTCTATGATTTTTCGGAAAGGGAATACGATCTGTTTCTCAAGGAAAATCCACCTATGCTCTCGCTATGTCCTACCATCAATTGTGAAAACCCGGTACAGAGCGCGTTCATAGTGTGCACGAGCGTCCGAACCCAGCCTAGTAGATGTTGCCATCATGCTGTAACCGTGAAATGATGACGTCAAATGGTCATTTGAATATAGTGTTACGAGCAGACGGTCATGTACCTCACGGTTTGCTACAGGCACCACCTTCATAATGCCCGCACCAGGTGTCTCGTACGCTTTCTACACTTCCCTCGCCAAGTCTCTCTTCTGCTTGGTCTTTGCGCGCGTGTACAGACCACAGCTTGTGCCAACGCGCGATCTCACGGGCCAAACAGCGATTGTGACAGGCGCAAACAGTGGAATCGGCTTGTCCATTGCTGTTGCACTCGCCAGCCAAGGTGCGACCGTATGTCTTGCTTGTCGCAATCCTGACCGCGGCGCCGCAGCTGTTGATCATGTAGTCGCTCAAAGTGGCGATAAGAGCAGGGGCAGGGTGACTTGCAGGATCCTGGACGTTGGTGACCTCACCAGCGTGCGTTCTTTCTGCCACAGCTGGATACAAGAGTGTGGGAAGATTGACATGCTTGTGCACAATGCCGGCATCGCAGCACCGCCCACTAGGAGTTCAAGCAAGACGAAGGAAGGTCTGGAAATCATGTACACGACAAACTTCCTAGGCAGCTTCTTGATGACGCATCTTCTCGAACCTCATCTGAGCCGAAAAGCGAGAGTCGTGATGACCAGCTCAACAGGCAGCTACTCTGCAACACCTCACTTTGTCCACGACGTCACACGCCCGGAAAGGATTCACGTGCCAGGCATACTCACAAGTTTTATCGCCAGGGGCAAAGCATTTCTGGGGCTCGAGGCTACTAGTAGCGCACCAGCCTACGGCTTGAGTAAAGCGCAGCAGGTACTTTTCGCTTCACTTCTTCAAAGGCGCTTCGATGCCCATGCTCTTGACTCTTCCGGCGATAAGAGCAGTCGGACCGCGCATGCTTTCACTCCGGGCTTTACGTCAACACCAATTTTTCGCAAATTCGACGTTACATGGCGGACATGGTTGACGAATCCCCTGTTCGCAATACTGAAGATGACTGAGAGTTATGTGGCTGTTGACACCAATGAGGGTGCCAAGACTGGGACATGGTTGGCGACGTGGGGGGATGAGGTCGGGAAAAGAAGACAGGAGGGTGCATTTTGGGAGAGGATGCAGGAGAAGACAAGCTTGGTACACTTGATGAGCGAGAAAAGAAAGACGGACGAGTGGAAGACCTGGGTGAACGACGCTGCCATCTCCTGGGACATCTGCTAACTGCCGACATCGAGGCTCAGCTGGCCAACTCTTGGACTCATCATAGGTAGGACAAACACACCCGAGCCTTCCTTGGCGCCAATGTCAAGGTCACGTAGGGTGACCAACCACACACTCAGGATAGTCAAATAGCCACCTCCGCTAGCAACATGCTTGTCGATTGTGCGGAAGACCGGCTGCTGCCTTGTTGTGCCCCATCGAGCATTTCCAAGTCAGTTTAAATCCCAAGCCCGAGAAGAAGCTGCGAAGCGTTATACTTTGATGGTTTGTTAGCAGTCTTCGTGTCATCAATGTTGTTTGCAAATTTGGAGATGTGCATGCCATCATCAGCAGGGCTCCCGTCACTGTTACTGAATCGCCTTCCACAGATTTGTATTGACGACTCGAAAGGGGATTATTAGCGAGGAAGTTACCGTGTTCGACTAATGAGCGGGTACTGTACCCCGTATTCTTGTCCCTTGACAGACGGAGACGAAGGTCCAGGTTTCGGTGTAGTGATCTATGGGCGCTGAGGCACAGCAGCAAACTGTTCCGCGGATCGATTATTACACCGTACCCTCCCACGACCGCCCCGGTAGCATTGTTGTCTTCGTCATCCGGTGAACCCAACCGCCGAATGGTTGACTTGACTTTAAGACCCACTTTGGAGCGATCTTTTCCGGATCCGAGCCTCGGCTCCATACTTCCGACAGAGGGCTGTATCCGCTCATCACTCACATCTGCATAGGCGCATGCATGTGGAAATCGCTTCTATGTCTTCGGGTAAGGAACCATCGGGTCGAAGGAGTCGGCCCGAGTGAAGCAAAATCGATCGAACGACCCTGATAACGAAGCTGCACAGCGGTAGTGACACCTGCGCCTCCTCTGAAGGATTATGGCTACATCGCTTAAGTCAGTGGCGCACGATGAGTGCCACCAGCCTTCAGCGAACTGACGATGATTGTTGAACAGGTCACAAGTCTCGTCTTGACAAAGAGACTGTTAGTACTACAAAGCTACCTTCATCCCAAGATATTCAGTGCGCTGCGGTCTCTTCAGGGCGGTGAATTAATTCAAAATATTGCTCCACTCGTATCCGGCAAGGAAACCCAGCCAACCAAACCATGGAGTCTACGCCTCGGAATCACCAGCGTTCGAGGGTGGGCAAGATCAGTGTCAAAGATGAAAATGAGGAAAAGCGGTACGTAGCAGACATCTCTCCGGTTTGCATCCTGTCCTGACAAAATCTCAAAGGCTAGACACCATTTGCCGGCAATCGACAATAACCCAGTTCATCAAATCCGGTCAGGCGGCGTTTGGCGGTGTTGCGCCTGAGATATCGAAGGAGCAGCATCAGAAGACTTGTGAAGTGCAAACATGGATGCTGGATCGTATCTGTGAAAGACTGGCAGGTGCCTCAGAATTGAACCACAACGATATCCCAGCACTGCGGCCTCTCCTCAATCTCGAATATTCTACAGGCGCCTTGGACGATCGCACTTCGACTGGCTTCACCTGCCTACTCCCGGAGCTGTTGAGGCTGATGAAGTCGAATTTCACGTACGTTGTGACCTTCTCAAACCATGTGCTCGACGCCCCGGATAGTGAGGTACCGCAAAAGATGAAAGAAGAGCTACTGTACAGTGTTGCACGAATTCTCGGCGCAGTCTCTATCGACACACGCGATCAAGGAGCTATCAACCACCAGCTGGCCGCATTTGAAGATGCAGAGCGCGGCTCTGTACCCGAACCAGGACTACAAGCAAAGCTTACAGCTACTGCATTTGGCATATTCACAAAACATCTCTGTAGCTTGGGGTTGTTCAAACCGATCGAGTCTATGCTGGCACGCCTTCAGTCTGAGATGATACATGCCCAGAGCATTGATCTCCATACAATCTACGTGCCATTCCTACAGGAGCTCATTGGAATAACGTTGGTGTATGGTATTCCATTAAAAGACGACATTTACAGCTCCTTCTTCGAGACCGTGCTGCAACAATACCTCAAGCGTTTTGTTGGTCAGGAGGCAGATGGAGCCAATTGTGCGGAACAAGAAGACTGGAATCAACGAGCCCTCGCTGCCCGTGTCATGTTGGAGTCATTTGACCATTCTTACTTTCGAGATATGCTCGGAGATCGATACCACCGTGGTATTCTCCCAGCTTTATTGAGATTGTTCGCGATCGCTCCCGTTCCTGTAAGGTCACAACCGCACACTCCCTTCACAACTTCATCCTCAACAAATTCAGAAGGTTTCAAAGCGACTGTCACATCGGCCAAAGACAAAATTGATCCACTCACCAGTACATCCTAAATACATGATTATAGTGTGACAATCTCTCTCTAAGCCCCGATCCAGCGTCAGTATGCAAACACTCTTTCGAAGATGAACGCTTCCAACACAAAACAAAAGAAAACCTTTGGACCGATTCACCGCTCGCTTCACAGCCCAGAATAAATTGTGGGGCTCTGTGCCGTTACAATGCCACCCAATTCGGACCGGCCGGAGTTTCACCAGCCAATCACAATGCTATTGAAAATCACAGTCTCCTACTTCTATCAGAAGTCGACACTATCGTCAAGCTGAACAGTGCTGAGCATCTGAACAAGCCAAGGCACATGCTCCACACGCCAGTCTGTACCAATCTGATCCATTTGTTGAGCGTATCGAGCAGCCTGAGCAAAGGAGCTACCATCGAAACCGAAGCTGCCTTCAATGCAGTCTCGAAGAAGATGGCTGGAAGCGTAAGGTGGGTTCGCGGGTAGCTCACGCATGCGATCGTCAAATGTACCCTGATGTGGTCGGAGCAAACCATCCATCAACGCCTCGCTGGGGTACTCTACTCCAACGATTGGCGAGTTCTCGGCTGTTGGATAAGCAACTGCATCTGCTCCGACTTGTGTCGGCAGACGGAAGAGCTCATCGACTTCGTGCGCTAGGTTTGGTTGAGCCTGTGCATGCACAATCGACTCCTGATGCTGTGGCAGTGCTATTTGAACTTGCTGTGACGGCATTCTGGCAACGTTGATCTCGCTCTGAGGAGACTGGAATGGCTGCTCGTATGCTTCAAGAGGATTTGCCGGTGCAGGATGACCGTCTTGACGCAAAGCTTGCATCATCGCGTGCAATTCCTCGCGTTCAAACGGCTCACGAGGAGAGAGACGAGCAATAAGTTCGTCTGGAGTAGGACGAGGACCGTGGTGTCGAGATGAATATTTCTTGGCATGGTCGTCCTTGCGCTTCATCTCGTCGTAGCGTCGGACGATCACCATGTCTGTATGCGCCGTTGTAATCTTGCTTAGACCAATGTAATCTAGGATCACTGGCAAGTCTTCCGGAAACATGTATACTTCGGGGCGTTGTAGTGCAAACTGCAAAGCACAGGTGAGGTCGCCGGCGTCGTTACCTTCTGGGACCTTCTTCACTCCCATTGCTAGGTCGCGGAACGGAATAGAGGATGGTCGACGATACCCATGCATTTGCACGT